AGGGAATGGCTCCCACTGCCAGAGGGCAGCCAGGGATGGGATTTGGGAATGAGGAATTCCTGGCTGGGCTGGGATTGCCAGAGCAGCTGGGGCTGGATCCTGGGATGTCCAAGGAAAAGTTGGAGCAGCCTGGGACAGCAGAAGATTCCCTGTCCATGGCAGGAGTGGAATTGGATATTCCTTAAAGTCCCTCCAATCCCAAACCATTCCATGATTTTATTTTCCAACCAGGGAACCTGTGCCTCTTCCAAGCCTCCCTTTCCCGGATCATTTAATTTGGGAATGAGATTCTTTCCTGATTATTTCAAATCCTTTATTTCCCTGGATGGTCTCAACTCCCCGGGGCTGGAATTCCACTCATTCCAGATTTCCTGGGATGTTGAATTCCAGAGGCTGCATTCCTGGGTACATTCACGCAGGGAAAGCAGGAAAATGTGGGAATGTTTCTCAGAATTCCACTCGTTCCCGAGCCCTCTGGAAAAGCCCAATCCCTCCCTTCCGGGTGACGCCGTTCTTCCCACCGGGAACGTTTTGTTTCTTCTCCCAGGGAATATTTTCCCGGAATGTTTTTCCTGCCCAAGGACATCTCGGGACAGGCCAGGATTCCAGGAGGAGAGGTTGGAATTGTCCCTCTGGAAACGGCTCCTTGCCAAGGCTTACAAAATTCCATGTTTTTCACTTTTTTTGGGGGGGGAGGAGGAAAAGGAAGGAAAATCCCCAAATCTCTGCTCCTCCCTGCCCAGTCCCCGGAATTTTGGGAGTGAGGGAATGAGCAAAGAGCCAATCCCGAATCCTGGGAAATCCGAACTCTGGGAATTCTGAAACCTGGCAAATCCGAGCTCAGTTTTACCAAACGACGTGGAAAACTTTGGATAAATCCTTGTTTTCCCATTGGAAATCCTGTAACCTTTCCCAAGGATTGTCCCATGGAGCAGAACCCCCCTCAGCTGTGTCTCCATGGGACCAAAATCCCGGGATTTGGAGTCCCTCTTCCTGGATTTCCACACCTTTTCTTGGATTTCCACAAGTTGCAGCTCCAAGCTCCTTGAGGACTTGGAAGTGGATTTTTTTAGGGACAAGCCTGGCTTGGATCCCTGTTTTTTTTCTTGGAGATTTTTGGGTGGATCCTCTTAACCTGCCCAGGGAATTCCCTGTTTTTTTTCTTGGAGATTTTTGGGTGGATCCT